TGCAAATACTTTGACGCACATAAAAGTTGGACGCGATTGACGATAGATATGCCCTTTTGGATTTATAAAGCCATTTGGTCAACACAAAGTTGTTGCATTGGAAATAACAATTTGAAATGTAAAAATTTATTTTAGTCTGGTGTCATTTTGAACCATTTTTTCTCCATTTTTCTCTTCAACATTAGAGGAGCTGCCAGGAAATCCAACTAAACGATCCTGGGGCGACGAGTGGTGTGTACGAAATCTATCCTGTGCCGAACGCTGATCCTATTGAGGTTTACTGTGAACTTAACATTGCTGGTGGTGGCTTCAGTTTCCTTCCGCAAAGCCTAACTTTGAGATCAGATGCACAGCAGATTGTCAAATCCCTCTTCACAGACAAAAGAAATGTTCTGCTAAAGTTGAAGAACAGAGTAAATGGCAGCGAGTCGTACACTTGGATTCAGCCCCATCCAAATTACACCAACATTGATTTCGGGCTTTTGGTCAACAACTACTCTGGTTACACTCAACCATTGAACGACTTCATGATGGAATACATCTTCCTTGGTATTCTACCTAAATCAGTTGCGAATGAACAAACATATCAGGGTTTCAAGTCTAATGGCGACGTAATCCAGTTTAGAAACTGCGACGAAAATCCCAACAGCTTGTTTGCGTTTCTGCCAAACCGAAATCGTGAGAACTCCAGTACTTATTTTCTGGGTAACGGATGTGAAGATACCGGTATAGCCGTTGACTGGCGTTCTACAGCAACACCAATCACAATTCCACCGGACAAAATGCCAAGAACGTTCTTCTTCTTAACAGAAGTTCATTTTGGAGGTTGTGGCTGTTACACCTCTAGCGACCGCTGGAGTAAATATGGCTTTAACGCTACAGCCATTGGAATTCGTTGATCAAAACATTTATTTAGAAATATTTAGTACTAATTATTAAACGAAGATTTCAAATTACTTGTTGCTAGCGGATGATTTTAGAAACTTTCAATTATTTACATAATCTGTTTAGATATTACTAACGCTTTGAACGAGATGGTTGGTAGTTTTGATCATATATATATATATATATATATATACATATATATATATATATATGTATTTATATATTGAGTAGTTGTGATCATATATATATATATATATATATGTATAAGTAAAGAAAATCGCTGATACAAAATGCATCCACAAATGGTCACTCTCTTCGAGAGCAATGCCAGAAACAGATATGTAACCAAGGTAAGTTTACTTGTAGCTTAATATTAACAACAAAATACATGTTGTTGTTCTTGCGGCGATATTCTGGTATGAGATAAGTTCATACTCTGACGAGTTGTGTGGCTCGGGCTTCCATGTAAATGGTTCTATTCGATATAGATAAGTGCTGCTTGCATATATATATATGCATATGTATATATTTCAGTGTCCCCCATTATTCAGCCAATTTGTATGCTGAAGTTGTAATATGAATAAAAATGTGCTAAGGATTTGATTGTCTTAAAAAAAAGAGATGTCATATCATATTCTTAATACGAATGGTAGACGGATTTGATTTCTTAAACCGCACTTTCTTTTTTTTTTCTGTCAAGAAAGTAAATTTTCGGTAAAATTATGGGATATTCGAGCGTAAAGAGATATAATTGTATGGAGAGACTTTACATGTTCCCTTTCAGAGTTGCCAGGCATGATTTTCTGAAATTTAGTACCTTTCTGGTAACCGTGCTTTGTGGTATAAGTGCTTATCGTAAACCTATCGTGAAAAGTACTTCGGCTAGTCACACTATCGTTATTAACAACAGACTAGCTCTTGCATCGGACCATGATATAAGTTGTCATGTGCATTTAACCTGTGTTTGATTGGTTCATACAGTAAGAGGTAGCTGATGTTGTCTAATCTTGTCAGAGTTGAAAAGCACGATTAGCTTGCGTGCATGCACTGGAGCTTCCACGCGGGATCAAATGAACACATAGAAAACCAGTCGTTTGTCTGTATGAAGTGCACAGAGTTCAAGGTTAATAACTTTAGTGTTCAACCATTTCTTGCTACGATTCATAGTAGGAAGACGAGCATCATTACAATTCATGCAACCTAGTCCTTACTTCAGTTACTTAAAATTCTATTCTGAGGCAGAGATTATAAGAGGCGAATGAACGAGGCAGCAATGTGATATTTGATTTTAAAACAAACAAGTGCAGATAGCATAAGAGAAGTTTAGAGGAAACACTTAACTTGTTCTCGTGTTTCTCCCTTTTCAGCTGTATTGCCACTTCTACGGACTTTGCTAAGGAGCTTTATAAAGAGCGGGTCCGAACCTTTCTACGGACTGTAGTTGTGCTAAAGAGAATCTGTATTTCATTTCTTTGAAATGTAACATCCTAAAACGTGCAATTCTACAGTACATTGCATCACTGCTCATCTAGACCCCACTTATATCTTAGTTATGTTTCAACATGACTTTTGTATAAAGTTGTCATGTGAACGCAGTTAATAGCTATAATTGAGGACATAATCGGGGCTCCCGATTATGGTAAACATTCGTAAGGCTTTGAGGCAGTCGCCCTCGGGTAACGAAAAATTAATTGGATTGTCACGGCATAAGTGGCAATCTGAAGACGCCGACTAACAATCTGGCAACAACCCAGGGAATAGCAAACTCACTTTGGACCATTGATGATTCTTTTATCTAAAAACGATAATAGTGATTGCCACTCATCCAACCTTCGCCCAACAAATCATACACGTGATCCATACTTTGTATATTAGCTGTCCCAGACCCTAGACTGAAGCCATGACAGCAAGGTAGACAAATCTAGCTTTCAATTTTCTGAAAATAGTTCTTGGATAGTTTTCGGTTCTGTTCCAGCTAACAGAGTTTTGGTAGGCCCCACGTGAAAAACGTAAGCCCAGTATGAGATTCCTATGTTGTAATGGTTTTCATGAGAAAGGTTTTCCAAGGTTTTCCACGAGTTCAAAGTCTTAGGTTATTTGAGTGTTATCCCCTCAAAAATTGTTTTTCGATTTCGCTTTTTTTGGCCAGTTGTCGAAATGGTTAAACCTAGCTTTCTTCTCTTGAAGCCTACCTTTGGGTTTTCCCCACATCACTTTTCTTGTTCTGGTTTTCAGTCCAGCTTTGCGGTCTTATCATTAGACATTCATTCATGGGCTAGTATTGTCAATTACGATGCAGGTCTGGTTTTAAACTCGGCATTATACAGCATAATACAAAGATATAGTTGTCCCGCTCAGAAAAATTCAAACGAATCTTTCCTTTAGTTACTAAAGAAAGCACTGGTAAGCCGAGTTTTAGTTAGCTGCAGGAGGGCGAGAAAACATACTGTATCAAGAGGTGCGCTCCTCATCTGTGATTCTCTCACCAAGTAAAGTAAGACAGAACAATTCCGCTTTCAGGAACTTAAGTAGTTTACTGAAGAGCTATTATAAGAAAGATTTCATTTCCCAGAGGTATTGTCTTATCTAAAAACAATTTATCATTTCATTTTTACTTTTATACCTATATCCAGTCATCAATGTGCTCTTTTCTTGAGGTTCACAAGAAGTTTTCCTCAATTTTCTATCCCCCACCCCGCGTCTTTTTACGACTTACCGGAATACTTCTTACCCTTCGCCAGACTCCCTTTCATTAAGGTAAAAAACGGCCAAAATAGTTACATTCGCCAATAGAATCAGCCAGTATTTCAAAAGCTCTAACCTTTTCTCTTGCTTTTTTTCTTTCTTTTTTTTCTTTTTTCTTTCGTATCAAGAATCGGTAAGAGAGTAAAAAGACGAATCACATGACTTTCCTCCTTTGGCATCAAATGCATTTTAATCACTCAAAAGGCAACTCCTTTAGATTTAAAGAAAAGGAGCAATCATGATTCACAAAAACGAGGAACGTCTACGAAAAATGTGTTAACAGTGAAATAAAAAAGAATTCCTATTTGATACAATTTTTCAGAAGTAAGAGATATTCACCTTTCAGCAGTTAGCTCTTTGGATAAACCATGACACTTAAGTAATTTTAATTTAAGCTTTTGTTTTCATTCATTGTCATCATTTCTTTGCTTCACGATGAAAAAATGATGCATATCAAAGCCACG